CTTTAACACCCTCAGGCCGTCCATCTCGGCTCTTAGGGCAGCGTTGGCCCAGAGCTCCTCTGGTGGGGGCAGCATTGGGCTGCTAACCTCCAGGTTTGCAGTTCGAAACCAGCTTGTGAAAGAGGCAGTTCTATCTTGCCCTGTAGGGGCGCTGTGAGTTGGCATGTGAAGGTAGTGAGTTTGGGTTTTGGTTTTATATTTTAGTAGAATTCGGGTTTTTTCCACCCTGTTGATTTTGTTTGTTAATTTTCTTGCCCTGTTCTGTACTAAAATTTTTTGTCACAGGTCTTAAAGAATACCACATTTTCTTGTTTTCAGTCATTTAAATTGGTCATGTATCAGTTATCACTTGAAGGACAGAAGCTCTTCCTGGAACCGAATTGTAACTATACGCATATAAAGTATCTCATTCCCTTTGGTATATCTAACTTAACTGTGATTTTTCTCTACATGTGTTTGATTTCATTGTGCATGTACTTTGACGTATTCTACCCACCCCTAGATTCTGTCGCAGCTTTATTTTTACTAGAAGACAACACAATATCCAGTAATAGAATTGTTCGAAATGATAAGATATCTTTGTTGCACTTAACTGAGATTCTCTTTATGAATCACTGCACGGTGGTATTTGAGTGTTTCAGAGATGTACCAACCAAGGGTTGTTGATAAAGGCTCCGTTGATATTCACGGAATTCTTGTTGCCATCGGCACTCCAGTCCATTCTGTTAGCGATGTCGTTTGACCTTAGGGGCGCCTTGCTGGGTGTCCAGGCTGTCATCTGTACATGAAGAAGTTCCCAGGTCTTGAGCTCCAGGTGCCTGCCTTTGCTGTAGCAGCCGACCGTTGAACCCCTGCCCCAGCACCATGCCTCCTTATTCAGTCATTTAGATATTCCTAAGCTGCAGTGTGTTGAGATTCCTTGCATGATGCACATGGCGATTTTCTCTGAGAATTCTTTTTATCATTGAATTTTCATCATAATTTTATGTGCATGCATAGGCATGATTATGCTGTCATTCCTTTTGTTAGGGGCCATGGAATAAATTCCAGTGGAGTAGACTATTCCCTAGGGTTTAATGCACTGTACTCTTAATGGAAGCAGGGGACAGGCCTTTTCTTCCACAGTAAGGCTGGGTGAGTGGAAACTGCCAACCTTTAGTTTATCGGCCCAGTAGGAAAAGTGCATTCCACCTAGGACCCTTCATTTCCCCTGCTCCAAACAAACACCATGCCATCAAGTTGATTCTGAATCGGCATTCCTATGTAGAGTTTCTGAGCTTGTAAATCTACATGGGAGCACCCAACCTCATCTTTCTCTCACTGAGCTGCCAGTGCATTTGATCTGCCAACCCTGAGGTCAGCAGCCCACGGACAGGACTCCTTAGTCTCCTTGGAATAAACCATAGCAAACCTGCCCACTGCCATCAGATTAGCTCCAACTCCTGGAGACTGCGTGCATGTCAGCGTTCAGCCATGCTGCATATATCTACCATGAGTCAAACTGACACGTGAACGGAACCATACATTTAAAAAAAACTTATTCTGAAACAATATACCGTACATACTCGAATATAAGCTGAGTTTTTTTTTTTAAACATTTTATTAGGGGCTCATACAATCCGTACACACATCATTCTCAAAACATTTTCTCTCCACTTAAACCCCCGACATTAGGTCCTCATTTTTACCCTCCCTCCCCGCTACCCCCTCCCTCATGAGCCCTTGATAGTTTATAAATTGGTATTTTGAAACCGAGTTTTTTCAGCCTATTTTTAATGCTGAAAAAGCCCCCCAGGTTTTTGTGGCAAAATTTGGTGCCTCGGCTTATACTCGAGTATATATGGCAACTATATGCTATTAACTTATGAATGAAACTATGTGATACTATATATAAAATTTATAATATTTATCATAATACAACATTTGAGACTGGGTGTGATAAGGGTTGCTTGGTCAGTTTGATAGTCTCCACTGTGTTGTTTGTCTTTACATTTGATGTTTACTTCCTAAGAACTTTGTGACTTTGTTTATATTTATTACTAAAGTAATACTTTTGTGAATGAAACGAATTTACTGCGATTGTCAATTTACAGTCGCATCAAATTGACATGTATCCGTAGAGATAGGTATACTAAACAGAATTTCGAGAGTAGAAAGCTTAGAAGTAATGAATTTGGGTATACATTTGTCTCATTAAATGGATCAAAGTCGGCGTAACTGGTAGGAGGCAAATGTAAGTGGTTTCTGTAATTTTCGCCGAGGAAATTGAAATGCATCAGAATGACATGTTCCATAAACCTAGTGTTAAATTGGTCAGTAGTCACTAAGCACATGGAATAAAGTATACTTCTCTCTCCAGGTTAAAGGTTGAGCCCCAGCTCTGCTTTCCCTTGCTGACTTGCCCCTTCCTGCCAGTGTGTGAACTCGTTAGCCTGTGAGAATGCTCTCTTCTGGGACCTGTGCGTATGAAATGCATTTCTTCATTTTTGGTGTCAAATGTGTAAGTGCATCTTTAGAACCATGGAAACCCCCACCTAATTTTATGGTTTCAT